TACCACTATCAGGCGCTCATCAGCTGGGGCGGTTGCTCATTCAGATCGAGGAGATCGGGATGTGGCCTCCTCAGGTCAATCTCGCCATCGGAGCGATTGCCCCCAAGCCGAGAGGGGGAGACAGAGCTTTAGGATTGTTACCGTTTCTGGTCAAGCTCTGGGCAAAGATTCGCAGTTCGGCCACGTTGCAATGGGCATCCGAGGCGGACGAGCACTGGGACACTGCGGTCCGCGGGCCCTCGACACTGCAAGCGGCATTGGTGCGAGGGTTGTTAGACGAGTCTGCACGAGAGCTCCACATCTCCTCCGCTACATTATTGTTGGACACTGAAAAATGTTACGACAGTTTGGATATCACTAAATTATGCGCTGCGGCCCTCACACAAGGTTCCCCCGCCAAGGTACTGCTCGTGGAGCTGCAGATATGTCTCGCGCCGAGGGTGCTGAAAGATCGCAGTTGGGCATCGCACACAATACAGGCGCAGCGGGGCATCGTGGCGAGTTCGCTGAACAGTGGTCGAATGGCGAAAGCTTTCCCAGGCCCTAGCATGGAGAGGGCCCACCAGCGGCACGGCAGGCAGATCCTTTTGGGAACATCCGTTGACGACACGGCGATTCGAGTGGAAGGTACTGCGAAGCAAGCCACATCCTTGACGATTGAATCGGGTGCCATGGCATGCGATCAGCTACGTCAAGCGGGATTAGTCATCAGTGAGAAGACCACGGTGGTAGCTTCGGACAACGTAATCTTGAGTGATGCCACTACGGGCCTACGTCGACTGGGAGTACCAGTCACTCCCTCGCATGATGCGGTCGACCTGGGCATGGGCACCAGTGCAGGGCGCCGACGCACCTGCATCAAAGCGAATGAGAAAAGGAAGAAGGCAGCGAAACGAACATGGGCGATCAAAAGGATGAGAAGGCATGCGAAGTTACGAGGCACTACGACGGCGCTATGGACTGCAAGGTCTAGACCACAGGGTACATGCGCTCATCAGGCGTTCGGTGTGGCAGGACACGTTATGCCAGATTTGAGGAGACAGGCAGCGCAGTGTTCGGTTGGTTCAGGACCTGGACGCTGCTTGACTACGGCATTGGCGATTGTGTACGGCAAGAAAGATCCAGCCAAGTCAGTGAGAATCGAGCATTTCCACATGTGGCTGAAGACGTGGCGTGAACATCCTGAACTACATGCGCGTGTGGCGACGGCTTGGGTCCGTATCCGCAGGAGACTCCTACTGGCTGGATCACGCAGATGGAGGTTAGTGAGAGGCCCTATCGGAGCGACAAATTCCACGCTGATGGGTATTGGATGGACCCCGCACTCCGATGCAATGGGAGTCGGCAAATGAAACATGGACTATTCCTTCTTACGCAGACGTCGAGTACGAGCAGTTCCACAGCGACTTCACGGACATCCTGAGGGACATCGAGGACACCATAGCTAGACAACTATGGGGAGGAACTTCGAAGCACGACAACGGCAGCGACCTGTGCGAGGGGGCCGACACGTACCAGGTCTCCAGGGAGCTGCGCGCGCTCAGGGGCGACGACGGCTCCGACGACTGGGCGATGAACGTGGTAGTGACGACAGGGAGCCAGTGGCACCGTGAGAGGTTGCAACAGGCGGGGTACAATATACCCAGCCTGCTCTGTCCTAGGTGCCAACAGGCGCCTGAGAGTCTGTTTCACCGTACTTCTGGAATGCGATGCCAATGCTGGCCACCCAGATTTCACGAAATCCGATTCGTTGATCCCCCAGGCTAGAGCGAATCACGAGAGTTCGCCGAGTTTCTGGCTCCGCGGGATCCCTGGTCGGGCTGAAACGGCCCCGACCTTCTCCGACGACCCTCCCATTGTTTTTCGCTTCGGCTTGATCCAGGACATACCCAGAGACGCCGAGGGAGTCGCCACCGTGTTCGGGGACGGTTCGGGTGGGAGGTTCTCTGACGGCCCTCGGCGTCGGCGGGTCGGTTCTGGAGTAGTCGCGCTGGCCCCAGAAGGCCAGTTCTGGAAGTCGGTCTGGGGTGTCGGCGCGACCTTACAGGGGAAGCGACAGAGTGTTCCTCGTGCGGAGATCACTGCGTTTGCGATCGCGGTGGAGGAAGTCCCAGGCCGACGATGTTTTATCACAGATCACCAGCCGCTGTTGAGGCCCTGGGCCAAAGGTCGGTCTGTTGGTTTCGAGGCCCTGGAGGGGGGGTGTAATGCGGACCTTTGGGCCAGGATCGCCGCTGCGTTCCGTGCCAGAGCGCCCGAGGACGTTGTGCTTAAATGGGTGGCCTCCCACCAAGAGGAGTCCACGCGCCACAGGGATCAGATGTTCCTGCACTTCGGCAACGAATATGCCGATGCGCTAGCAGGGGCGATGGCTGAAAAGGCTTGGTCAGAATTCGTGTTGGCTGACCCTCCAACTGACCGAAGGGACGCGGAGTTGTTTTTGATCCGTCGGCGCGCTAGGAGGGCCTTGGGGCTTTCCATGGTTGCGGACCCGTGGACCCACGAGCGCGTCTCGGCGCAGTCTCAAAAACCGCTCCCTAGGTTGGCGAGAGAGCTCAGGGCCTCCGAGCATCGGTGGTGTCGCGTGGGTGCTAAGTATTATTGTGCGAAGTGTTCGAGTTTTTCGAATCAGGACTCGATTTTTCAAGCTTGTGAGACTCTGCGTGGGTCGAGGGGTCGTCAGGAATTCGAACCCATCCGAGGGAGGTGTATCATTGGAGGCAAAGAGCTCCATCCGTCGCACACTCTGCAGTACTGGAGTTCGTACTGCCTCACCTTTTGTAGCACTTGCGGTTTTAGTTGCACCACCGACCCCGACAGCTCTCGAAAGTTTGCAAGCTCACCCCCAAGGGGAAGCAGAATCTGGCAAGGATTTTAGCGGGTAAGTACCCCCACCCGTCGGGGCCCCCGAAAGCTGTGCGAGAAGCGTTGCACAGTCGTTTTCAGCAGTAAGCTAGCCAATGCGGGACCTTCGACGTCCCTATCCTGGAATATCCCTGGGATATCCTCATCCTCCTCCTCCTTCTCCTCCTCCTCCTCCTTCTCCTCCTCCTCCTCCTCCTCCTCCTCTCCTCCTCCTCTTTCCCTTTGTACAACTTCCCTATATGAGTACTGCTCTCCCCCTCTCCCCTGTAACGTCCGGAAGATATGCGGCCCTCTGCGCATTGTTTTTTACACAGGATCCCCGGGAATTGGATTTCTCGCAGGGTTTTTCAAAACGTTGTTCCCGCTGAAGCGTTGGCCTCATTTTCGGGCTTCCGCTCGTTCCGAATCGTGCTCATGCTGCAGCGCCGGCCTCAGTTTCGCGCTCCCGTTCGTTCCGAATCGTGCTCACGCTGCAGCGCTGGCCTTCCTTCCAAATAGGCCCCAAAGTCTAGAAAATGGCTTCCCGAAAAAACCATTGGAAATGATTACACATTCGGTGTCGGTTCGTTGATTTCTTGGGCCGCAGAAGCGCCCACGGGGCGCCGTCGTTTTCAGGCAGTATCAAGCGGGAGCCCCGTTTCTGCCTTGACGATGTTGAAAGAAGAGCCGGCGGGTGCTCTAGATCAACCCCGCCTTGTGCAGAGTTTGTCGGGGAGCCCAAGGAACCAGACATGGAGCCACGACTCCAGACCGGCCCAGGTTTCTCGAAGACGATCCCATTACCTTCCAAGGAACATGGCGACATGCCCTGACATGCTGTGCGGTATTGTGTTCTGCGCCGCTGTGCGATGCCATGCTTTGCGTTGCAAGGCTTTGTGATGCAAAACATCACTGCGCAACGCCACGCCATGCCATGCTGTGCTCTTCCATGCATGTCGCACCCTCTTGCGATCATTGCCCTGCTCGACATCCGACGGTGCGAATAGAGAGGATATCTACGCCATGGTAAGGGATGGGAGGGAAGGGTGAGACTTCAGATACGACGCGAGCGCGCCTAGCTTGCCTCTCTCCTCTTTCCTGTTTCCTCTCTCCTCTCTCCTCTTTCCTTTCTCCTCTTTCCTCTCTCCTCCTCCTCCTCCTCCTCCTCCTCCTCCTCCTCCTCCTCATCATCATCATCATCATCATCATCATCATCATCATCATCATCATCACTTGGCACTGGGAGTACCAGTTCGTCAGATTCTTCAGGGAGGAGGGGCTTGAGTGGAAGGAGGTGGCCTGCAGGAAGGGAGAGTGGAACAAGTGGGAGGAGAAGTGGATTCGACACATGTTAGGGGCGGAATGTAGTAAAGCGATCCTGTAGCAGTAGCAGACATGCCAAGTGTTTATCACGCCTTTGTTAGCTAATGTCTCGGGGATGGGCCGCCTTGGGGTCACGCCTCACGAATGTGTGCCGCCGGAGAAAACGACCCATTTCAGCCAAAAGGGGTCGTTTTTCGCAGGGTCCCGCGGCATTGCATTTTCGTGTCGACTTAGCTGTTTTTTCCTTGTAACGTAGATGCTCGGCTTCTTAGCATTCTCGACAGGCGGACGATGTCATTCAGGCCTGCTCACCACCACCACCCACATCATCATCATCATCATCATCATCATCATCATCATCATCATCATCATCATCATCATCATCCTTCTCCTCCTCCTCCTCCTCCTCCTCCTCCTCCTCCTCCTCCTTCTCCTCCTCCTCCTCCTCCTCCTCCACCTTTCTCATCCTGCTCTGGGTGCTGGTGCTGCCGCCGTTGTTCCTCCTCGATACTTTTCTCAAAGTCTGTCTTCCCAGGACTCCTCTTGACTATGAGCTTCACAAAATCCAACCAACCAACCAGCCAACCAACTCTGGACGATCTCTCGCCCCTAATCCCCAAGCCACCCCTCGTCGTTTCGAGGCCTCTTGGCGGCCGTTAGGGTTCCCTCCGACAAAACCATGCCGATCAGAAACGAGGCGAAACTCGGGAGTGCGGACGCACCGCCAAGGATGGACGCACTCATACCGCATATCCCGTCCCCATAAATGTTTGGTCCAGCCGAAAGCGCCACGGAGTCAGGGGTTGGGGCCGCCATACTCCCCGTCAGCTTGAATGCCAATTCTGAGGGCAAGCAGGCGGGCCGAACCAGACATTTCCAAACAAGCCACGCCGGACACTTCTGCCCGCACCGCCCAGGACGACACTCCTCCTTCCCCCAGGGGGGCGCGAAGATCCGGGCCTGCCTGGGGGGGGCTCCGGGACCTCCGGGAGCGCCAGGATCGACGCCCTCCGCGACGTCGGAGGGCTTCCCCCGAGCCGGGCAGGCCCTCCGAGCTCTCGGCGGCGCTGGCCGAGGCGAAGCGGAGCGCCCTGCGGCTCCGCGCCACGCCCAGGGACGGCCTGGCGCAGGAGAGGGGGCCCGGCGGGCGCTTAGGCGTCTATTTGCGGAGGGTGCGGTCTCACGCCGGGGCGTGTGGTGCGGGATCGGCGCCGTTGGGGCCCGGGGAGCACGACGATGTCCTCGTCGGGCCGCCTCGGGGCGCGGCGGGGAGCTTCGTCGAGGTCCTCACCCGCCCCCCAGCGTGCCCCCCAGGGTGCCGGTTGCAGACCACACCCTTTGCAAACTACACCTTTCGGAGTCGCCGAGTGTGGTGCGCAGGGGCAGTGCCCCCTGTTTCCCCCACTACAGCCAGCTCTGCGCATCGTCAAGGGTGACGACGGAACGCAACACGAGACCAGCTCTTCCACAATCATGTCGGGGAGCCCCACACGGTGAGTCGATGGGATCCCCAGGCCTCCAGCAAATTCTTTTCCTATTTTCTTTGAACCCGTATCGTCCGTGACGGGGGCAGGCCCGACGCCCCCCCTCCCGCTTAGTAACGGACGTCACGGGAGGGGAATGAAAACCACTCTCCAGCGTATTTCGGGACGATCGACATGGGCATGGAACAAAATATCTTGCACATGTTGAACAGGATTCGCTGTTGGCGTCGCCGCGGCCGTTGTCCATTTGAGACAGACTGCCACCTACCCAACAGCAGCCGCTGGCGGTTTTGGACAGCATTTGCTGTTGGGCATCATGCCCATTCTGTTCCGTACCCATTGAAAAACTCAAGACGGAGATGTTTCGTGGTTTTCGACCTCTGGGGAAGGATTTGGGACGGAAAACCGGTCCTCGCGGAGTGGTCCAGAGTTCCGGGGACGCCGATTTGAAACAGATCCAGGCATTGGAGGTCTGGATTCGTGTTGATTCGGGACGACCGCACGGTTTGGGGATTTGGGTTGTTCTCCGAGGATCTCTCGGGCGACTTTGGGACCTTCAGGGTCCTGAAGTTATGCGGTGGCTGGCCGTGCGGTGAGGTCTTTCGGGGTGTCGAGGTCGCCACACGGTCGAAGGAGGTGCCCTGTCCCTCTCCCCAAATGGACGTCCAGAGGTCTCCGATCAAGCGCATACAGTCGAGCCAGACAGCGAGAGCATTGCCCCAGCGTGCCCGATCACGCTTCAGACACCGTGCCCGAGGTCCTCGTGCACGTTCGGCCTCCAGGGGCCGCAGGCGGGCCCTGGTAGCGTCAAGAAAAAGCGCCCCGCCTCGAGCAGCCGCCCTCGGGGGAGGGGAAGGGAGTCGAGAGGTCTGGGGTCCACGAACCGGCACCAGCAGTGCGCCAAGTGGACGGGCCTCCGAGGAATCGAAGGGTTGACCTCCTCTCGCCCCGGGGAGGACGCGGAAGGAAGTGGAACGAGTGCGGCTCCGCAGGTTGATTGCGCACGGTCCGCGGTGTGTTGACTTCGCGTGTCGCGTGGCCGGTTCTGGCCCACCACGCTTCGGCGCGACATGCTAACACGTCCTGGCCCCCGACAGTCCACGTCCCGAGAATTTCCCAGCCTACAGCCGCGCGGAGCGGAGCCACACGCTATCCGTCTTCAGGGCATAGCGTGTCGCCGGGGCCGCCCCTGCGACACGCTAAGCAAAGGCTACCGACCGCAAAGCCTGGCGGAGGCCGGCGTGGCCGTCTCGATGCGGGGCAGGCGCGCCGACGTCCTCGGGCCCTCCCGGCGTTGGCCACGTGGCCCAGCGTTTCGGGACCCCAGGGTGAGCAGCGGAGGCCGAGGGCTCGGAGGGAGGCCGCTGGCTCCCCGCCTCGCCGGTACTCGTTGGGTCTCTCGGGTCGTAGGAGCGCGCGAGAAGAAGTTGGGCCGCCGAACTTCCTCGCCTTCGTTCGCATGGCATGACAGTCCGAGCGAGTATCGGTTTCCTCCGCCTCCTTCTCGGTCTAAGGGCCGCCGGGCGACACTAAGACAGGAAACGGAGGAGGCGGAGGAGGAGGAGGAGGAGGAGGAGGAGGAGGGCTGAGCGTGAGGACTAACTACGTGCACTCCAGAACGGGCGTTGAAGCAGCGTGTGTTGGATGCCAGGTTCTGTTTGGATCCAGGTTCTGACTTGAAAGCTGCAAGAGGAGCCGTCGGCCTCTTCTGTTATGGGAAACGCGGAGCGTTCCGAGGGCTGGTTGTTGATTGGTAGATTGCCGCAGGTGCCGCGCGAGGCAAAGTAGTCCAAAGCAACAGGCTTTGATCACACTTGGGGTCCGCTGCAGGTCAGACGATGGCCGATGAGCACACCACCGCCTCCCCGAATGAGTTCTAACCCTGCCCCTCGTCTGATACCAGTGCGCTCGTGTGCCATGGACCGCTTGCCGATCTTGCGGCTGAGATGAGACAGTCATCCCTTGGCATGTTGAGCATCGTTTGATGACGACGACGACGACCACGACCACGACCACGACCACGACCACGACTGCGACGACGACGACGACGTTGAGCATCGTCGGCATGGAAACCGCCCGCGCACCCGCAGGAGGCTGCTCGGGCTCTGGTCGGCGGACGGCCCCGGCCGGCGGCTCTTCGCCAGCAGACCCGGCCGCCAGCGGAGCAGAGGCGTGCCGTGTGCTCCGGGGGCGCGCGCCTGCCGGCCGGCGACCCGCTGGCCGGCGGCCTGTTCAGCCGAGAGGCCGGCGTCTCGGCTGTTCTCGGAAACGACAGGGCTGCTGCTCCGTCAGTTCGCGTGTGGGGCAGTTTTTCTTGCCCCGGTGCTATAGCACTGTGCTTTTTCTCCGGTTCCGTCGCCGTTCTGTTTGTGGTGTTTCTGTGGTTTGAATCCCGTGCTTGTGTTTTCCTGTTTCGGGGAACCGTTTTTTCTGGCTGTATGCTCAAGATTAAGATTTCTGGAGCCAGTACAGACACGGCCCTGCCGTTTCCAAGACCCACGTGTGGTGTAGAGGGTTGTGGAGCCGCTACTGGATCTGATGTCATCGCTCGTCGATCACATCGCCATTTCCACGATGGGCACCACACCCCTTGATGCCACACCCCTTCCGGCCTCCAAGCCTGAGGCCAACATCGACCCCGCGGCCCTCCGGAAGGGCATCTACGAGGCCCAGCTCTGCAGGAGGTGACGGCTGGGGGAGCAGGGCGCGTGCGCACGGGCTGCCCCCCCGCCCCTGCCGCCCACTCGGGGCGCGCGGGGGGCACACGAGGAGCGAGGAGCGAGGAGGAGGAGGAGGAGGAGGAAGAAGTGGAGCGAGGAGGAGGAGGAGGAGGAGGAGGAGGAGGCGGAGGAGGAGGAGGAGGAGGAGGAGCGAGGAGCGAGGAGCGAGCGGCGCGCGTCCCTCGTTCGCCCGGGGGCGCCGCCTCGTCTCGGGGAAGCGTAGGACGCGGGTGCGCCGGGGCTCGAGTGTGCCGACGCTTCGTGACGAGCTCGTTCTGGATTCGGACGGCCCAGTTTCCATGGGACGTTGGCGGCGGGAGCTCGGCTCGAATTTCGGATGGGGTCCCGTAAGTTTTCTGACGGCCCCGTCGGGCCAAGCCGAGTCCCCCGAACCCGAGTCTTACGTCTACCCGACCCTGCAGTAGCAGCGCGCGTCCCGCCCGCCTGGGGGCGCCGCCTCATCCCCCAGACCTCCGACGGGTTGGCCTGTTCAGATCTTTTCCTGGGCGGAAGGCAGCAGAGGGGCGGCGGAAGCCCGCGGGAGTAAAACGAGGCCGCCTCCGCCGGCGGAAGCCGGCGGAAGCCGGCGAAAGTAAAAAATGCGTCCTCAAGAGATGGCAGAATTTTTGGATTCAAGATTTCCGGAACCAGCGAGACGTCTCTTTGTCCTTGGGGGCATTCTTTTGTCCAGGGTCAGCGCTGGATTGTCGGCCCCGAGAGTCGAGAAGTTGGGGACAGGCGCCGGGATCCAAAAAAATAAAGCACAATCCGTCAGAAGTCTGTGCTTCTCTCGATGCCAGAGGGACCGCTGGTACCCCCCCGCAACCTGACCGCCTTGCTCGAAGACGCGAGCTTAGCTGGAAACAGGCATCGCCGTGGGCCATTAGCACCATCAGCGTCGTCGCCATCGTCTTCGTTACTCCGCGCCCTCATCGGGGCCATCGCCCCCTCCAGAGCGATCGACGAGCTCCATTATTAGCAGCATCGTCAGCAGCGTCCCCATCACCATCGCCAACGTAGTTGCCAAAGGCGAAAAAAAACACGACTGCTGATTGGAGAGGCCTGACGGCCGGTGCCGCCGACCCTGATCGAAAGGGCTAGGAGTGGGGGGAGGAAGCGGAGGATGAGGAGGAGGAGGAGGAGGAGGAAGGAGAAGGAGGAGGAGGAGGAGGAGCAGGAGGAGGAGGAGGGAGGAGGAGGAGGAGGAGGAAGAGGAGGAGGAGGAGGAGGAGGAGGAGGAGGAAGTGCATCCTTTGTGTGCCCGCTCGAAGAAAGTGCGCCCCGGGAGTGTGATATTCTGACTTGGGACGTGCTCCCGGAAGAGGAAGAAGTGCATCTCGGGCGTGCCCGCTCGAGGAAAATGCGCCCTAGGGGGGGGTTTTTGACTCGGGGACGCTCCGGGAGGAGGAGCGGGAGGAGGAGGAGGAGGGGAGAGAGAAGGAGGAGAGGAGCAGGAGGAGGAGGAGGAAAAGGAGGAGGAGGAGGACCAGGAGGAGGAGGAGTGCATCCCTGCGTGCCCGCTCGAGGAAGTGCGCCCCGGCGGGCGTCGTATCTGCCCCGGCCCCCCCCCCCCCCTTCCCCCCCCTTCCCCCCCCCCCCCTTGCGGGGAAGGGATCAAAGGGAAGGGGCTTCCCTTCGACTCCACTACGACGTCGTTTGATTTCGCTTTGGATAGCGCGCTCGAGGAGGAGAGCCCTGGGAGGGGGAGAACGGAGACGACAGAGACGACGAGTCGAACGGAGAAGCCCCTCACACACGCCGACAGGGTCGGCGGATTTCATTTGATGTCAAGCACCCGGCGCATGACAGACCCATATCTCTAATACATCTGCAACGTATGGTAATATCAACATGTCCAGCCAAGATGAAAGGTAAAGCTGCGTGGTGTACCCATTCATTCCACGCCCAACGGCGCCTGGATGAGGCGACGCCGAAGGAAAGGCAGCTAGGGGGGAGACAGGGCGGCGACAGCGGACTCCGCGGACCCCTCAGGGGCGCAGCAAAATGGGGGTAGATGCGCGCCTGGCAGCACTTAGCAAGGGCCAGGTCTAGCTGGGTCTGCGTGGGGCGTCGCTGCGCTGGACCCCCCAGTGGGCGCAGCAACCTGAAGACGGTTGCGCCCATGGCGGCAGTGGGCGGGGCACGCTGGCTCCTTCGAGCTGGCTAGCGTGTCATTCACTCCCAATCGCACTCCTCCCTCTTCCGTCTCCCCCCTTCTGCCGCCCACCTCCCATCATTCCTTATATAACTCCGCGCCCCATTCCTCGCTTCCAACCCTCCATTCCCTCCTCCTCAGTCCTGACTCCTCCTCATCCCACCCAATGTTCCTATCTTCCCTCGTCTCCCAATTCCATCCTTCCCCCCCTCCTTTTCTTCCTCCGTTCCTCCCCGCCCGTCCCTTTTCTTTATCATCCTTATGCCCCTCGTCCTCATCGTCCATTTTCTCTTCCTTCTCCTGTTACTCATTTCCCCTTCTCAATTCCCCTCCATCTCTCCTTCTCCTCCGCCCTGCCCTTCCTTCATCTTCCCCTCAATTTTTTTTTATGTGTAACGCTTCGCATATATCCACCAGTCCATCCAGGCACGATCGGAAGATTTCTTGAGGCCTCTTGGAGGCTACCTTGAGCCAAGCTCAGCTAAAGGCCGTCGCAGGCTATATTGAACTGGTGCTCAGCTATATTGGGGAATATTGAGACTGTCTTGAGGCTGTCTTGAAGGTCTGTCGGAGGGTATCTTGAGCCATGGTCGACAGGGCGGGGCACGCCGACTGGGTGACCTCCGTCCTGACGGCCTCATACGATCGGGAGTTGCTCAAGGTGCCCCTGGCAAAGGTGCCCCCAGCTGTTCGCCCCAGTTTGGAGCCCCTCGGGCCCCCTCGGCCTCGCGAGGGTTGCTCTGGAGGCCGAAAAGACCACCCTGGAAATCATGGAGGCACCTTGGGCCAGGGCCACTTCTGGCAACACCAGATGCGACCACGCCGCGGGGCTCTTCGACGCGTCCGCCACCCGGTATGTGCAAGCGTGCCGCGGCCACACGGACCTGGTGCGAGCGGCGTCCTTCTCCCCGAGCGAGCGCTGGGCGCCGTCAACCTCCAGAGATAGCGGGGCGGCATCGCCGGCCAGGGCCCCACGGCGTCTGCGCATTTGCGAGTTGCGCGGGGCTGGGAGCTGAGCGTAGACGACGACGAGGGAGGACGGAGGAGGACAGAGGAAGGAGCAGCAGCTGGAGAGGAGAAGGGATGAGGAGGAGGACCGAGGATGGGAATGAGAAGTGGAAGCAGGAGAAGCCCAGAGGAGGAGGAGGAGGAGGAGGAGGAGGAGGAGGAGGGACAAAGGAGGAGAAGAAGGATGAAACGGAGCGTAGACGAGAAAAACGAGGACGAGGATGAGGACCAGTGCAGATCTAAGACGCATCAGCGATGTTGCAATAAAACCTCCTTCCAAGTTCTCTCCCTCTCTTCACAGGTCCCTACGAGAGTCATTGCAGGAAATGCCACATTGGAAGACAACCGCATGAGAATCTTCACTCACGCCAAAGCCCAATTCCTGGGATCTCCACGCCGCGAATCGACGTGACGGTTGCGTCCCGACAACCCTGCCCCCCCTCCCCGCGGACCCCTGGAGTCGTCCGCCCAAGGTCGCCCGCCCTGGCCATAAAGGGTCACTCTTGCGTGTAGCCAACACATGAGCGCTGCATAACACAAGCGTACGGTAGGTTCGCGTCGTGTCGACCCTCGTCGACCTCGCCGCGGGCGTTCAAGGTTGAACGCCGCCGGCGACCCAGAATCTATCGATGTTGAACGATCGGACGTTGCGGCAGCGGCCGATCGTTCAAGGTTGAACGATCCCTGCGGTGTCAAAAACCAACGCTGGGGTCGGCACGACACGAACCTGCCGTAGCACCATTGCGGTGTGTCAAAAGCCCGAGGCAGTGGGAGATCGCCGAGAGCACCCACTCGCTGGAGGAGCTGGGCCGCCTGTCCCTGGCGCCCCCGGCAGCGGGAAGGGAGCTCAGGACGTGGCTTCTTCACGCCCGCGACCTCAGCGGTTGTTCTTCCTCCTGTGTGCTGCCTCATTCCCTCCCCTCCCTGCGTCATCCAACAAGTCGGGTGGAGTTTGTTGCAATTCGCTGCTTCCTGCGAGTCTTCCAGGGCCCTTGGGCGCACAGGGGTCACTACTATTGCAATGGCCTTCGACCAGTGCCGCCGATCTGGGGTTCTTCGGATGCGACCCTTGACATCGACTCAATATGAATACTCCTCTCCTCTCCCCCCCGAAGACCCCTATGAGGGAGCGCAGCCCCTCGCGGATGTTTGTATGTGCTTGTCCAATCCGAACGTTTTCGGTTATTCCAAAATGTTGTTCCCGCCGCAGCGCTGGCCTCATGTTGGGGCTTCCGCTTGGTCCGAATCGTGCTCCCGCTGCAGCGCTAGCCTCATTCCCGCGCTTCCGCTCGTTCCGAATCGTGATCCCGCTGCAGCGCAGGCCTCATTTCCGCGCTTCCGCTCGTTCCGATTCGTATTCCCGCTGCCGCGCTGGCATCATTTTCGCGTTTCCGCCCGTTCCGAATCGTATTCTCGTTGCAGCGTTGGCCTCATTCACAGTGCCGTGACATGGCATGTTGAGGCTTCCGCTCGATCCGCATCGCGTTCCCGTTGCAGCGTTGGCCTAATGTTTGCGCTTTTGCTCGATCGGAATCGTGTTTCCGCTGCAGCTCTGGCTTCATTTCCAGTGCCGCGCCCTGGCATGTTGGGGCTTCCGCTTGGTCCGAATCGTGTTCCCGCTGCAGCGCTTGCCTCATTCCCGCGCTTCCGCTCGATCCGAATCGTGTTACCGCTGCAGCGCAGGCCTCATTTCCGCGTTTCCGCTCGTTCCGACTCGTGTTTCCGTTGTTGCGTTGGCCTAATTTCCGCGCTTCCGCCCGTTCCGAATCGTGTTCCCGTTGCGGCGTTGGCCTCATTTCCAGTGC